GGGCCCGATGCAGCCGCGGCGCATGATGGGGTTTGGGTGCCTTTCCGCACGGATGTCGGACGTTGGCTGCGTCCAATCTGGCACCCATCATGACCCACCTGCGTGCCCGCGCCCACCCTGACCCTGCCGCCGGACGCCTTTGCAATACAGGCCTGTGGGGCCTCGCGCTGCGCGGCACCATGAGCGCCACGCTGCTGCGGCCCCTGCTGCGGCAGCTGCGCGCCGAGGCGCGCCAGCTGGCGGCCAACGGGTGGTTGTGCCAGCTGGCGCTGACGGGGCTTGCGTTTTTGAGGTGTCGCGATGACGAGCTGGTGGGGCGGCTGCAGGGTGCGCTGCTGGACCAGGCGGGCGGCGGCAGTGACGCAGCAGGGCGCGGGCAGCGACAGCGGCAGCAGCAGCAGCAGCAGCAGCAGCAGCAGCAGCGGTGGCAGCAGCAGCAGCAGCAGCAGCAGCAGCAGCAGCAGCAGCGAGATTGGGACGAGGTTGGTGCGGAAGAGCTGGGCTGGGCGGCGAGTGAACACGACGGCGGGTGGGACGTGCAACAGCAGCAGTGGCAGCAGCAGCGGCGGCAGCAGCAGCCGCAGCAGCGCCGGCGGAAGCTCGCCAACTGGACTGCCCACGACTTGTCGGCGGTCTGCCACGCCCTCGCGGCCCTCGGCCACTACGAGGCCCGCGGGTTCCTCGAGTTGCTGGTGGACTGCTTCGTGCAGTCCGCAAGCCGCAGCGTCCACGGCGCAGTCCGCGGCGGCGCGCCGCCGCAGCTGGTGGCCAAGGTGCTGCGCGCCTGCGCCGTGCTGCGGTTCTACGACCCGCCGCGCCTCACACGGCTGCTGCGGCTGGCGGGCGCGACGGACGCGGCGCGTTGGGGCCCCAAGGCGCTGGGACAGCTGCAGCAGGCGGTCATGTGGCTGCAGGTGCGCGGCGGATCAGCAGAGGGACGGGTGCCCGCCAGCAGGCCATTGGGTCAGATCAGATCCACTTTGCTTGGACACGCGTTTCTGCAGACGTGTCCAGTTGATCGGCAATACTGTAGCAGGGACGCGCCGTTGATACGTTTTTATCACAACACACCTTGCTTCAATAAGAGTTTCTCAGGGATTTCGCAATGTTTCAACTACAACCCCCCTCCCGGTGGGGCCCCTGCGCGCCCACCTCCCAGGTGCTCTGCCCCGGCGGCGAGCAGCTTGTAGAGCAGCAGCTTCCGGCCCCCTTAGTCGAGGCCGCGCTCGCCACGTGGGTCAACGACGTCGTGCCATTAGTCACCACCTCGTCCACCCAGGACGCCGCGTGCGACGCGCTGCGGCGCCTCGGCCTCGCGCCGCGCGCGGAGGCGCTCGTCGGCGGCGGGCTCTTCAGGGTGGACGTCGAGCTCGATTACTGCGGCCAAAAAGTGGCTGTCGAGGTCTGCGGCCCCAGCCACTTCGTGGCCGCCGCGCCCGCGCTGCGCGCTGGCGGGCCGCTCGGGCGCGCGGCGAGCGCCGAGGACCTGCCGTTCCGGGAGGCCCTCGTGACGGCCGCTGCGGGCGCCGCGGCGGCGCGCGCGGAGGGCGCAGCGGCGGCGGCGGGGCGGGGGGCCGGGGGTTTCGTCGGATACTACGGGGCCTTCTCCGGCGGCGCCGGCCTTCCTGAGAATGGCGGCGGCAGCGGTGGCGGCGGCGGCGAGAGCAGCGGCAGCGGGCAGCACGTGGGGGACGGCGACGACGAGGAGTCTCGGCTGCTGCAGCTGACCGCGTCGAGCATGCTGCGCGCGCACCTGCTCGAGGCGCTTGGCTGGCGCGTGGCGCACCTGCCGTTCCACCTGTGGGCCTCTAGGGGTGGCGACGACAGGATGCTGCTGGCCATGCTGGACCAAGCCGTGGGCGCTCCCCTCGGAGGCCCGATTAGCGGCGGCGGCGGGAAGAGCGGCAAGAGGGACGGCGCGGCGGCGCGGGCGGCGGCGCGGCGCGTGCTGGCGTCGACGCGGCGGGTGGTCGAGGCGCGCGGCGAGGCGCGGCGGCTGCAGGAGCATCGGCAGCGCAACGCGCGGGGGGGAGGGGTTGCGGCGGGGGAGGCCGGGCAGGTGGCCTCGCTTGCGGCGCTCCTGGCGGGGCTCGAGGGCAGCGGCGGGGGCGGCGGCGCGCTGTCCACGTTTGACCGGGATGACTTTGATGATCTGTACCTTGACCCCGACCTTCTGTCGGCGCTGGGCAGCGGGACCGGCGGCGAGACCGATCAGGAGTGAATCATGTCGTGCTTGTCGTGGTGCTCACCGGTATTCTGTCAATGTGCATGGTCGCTGGTCTGCTTTCTTTGTGTGCGCTGCGCGTGGGCTCGAAGAATTGTCCAGCTTCCCTGAATTCCAAACCTCCTTCAGCTTTGATTTGGGCCTGTCGCTGTTTTGTGATGGTGTTGACGGGTCATGGGCAACGGAAGGGCTCCACACATCACTTGTTGCCCATTGCCTTTTTTGTAGCTGAGTACAGCAGCAGCAGCGTCATGGCATAAGCGCAGCTGCAATGCATTCAATGGTACATGTGTGCAACCCCACAGCACCTTTGCTTGACACGAAGATGCTGCCTGCCCCCGTCTGACACAATAACAGAGAGGTCTGCCAGGTCAGACCTTGCGGCGCACGCAGCGGGCGTGGCCGACAACAAGCATGCGGCGAGTTTCCGGACCCAATGCGTGTGCATACACCTGGTGGTAGGCAGCAACGCATCAGGCGACCAATTGGGGACCGCCACAGCAGCCGCAGCACGTGACACCACGGCAATACCATGGCCCTGATGGCGGTGCGTGCCAGGCATCACGGGCCGCTGGCGGGGTAAATCCGGCGCGGATAGGGGTGCGCCGCCGCGACCTCCTCTGCATGCGCAGCATGGGTGAGTATGAGGAGCCCCCACCGCATCTCCTGTGCTTGCGGCGAGGTTCGATACCGGGTGTTGCATCACTCTGTCCACCTGGTCCGCCTGCTGCACACGGGGGCCGCAACACGGCTGCGCACAGCGGATGCAGCTGTCGTCACAAGGTGCATGTGAGCTGTGCAAACAAGCACTCAGATCTAAACTGCCGCGCATAAGTTTTAGGGATGTTTCAAAGTAGATAAAAACACCGCAGGCGGTGGTCCTGGATCTCGGGATCTGATACACACAAGTTTGGCGGCCGCACGCAGCTCAAGTGGACGCAAAGGTATCACAAAACACGTTTAATCATCCGCGGCCATAACAAATTGCCACAGCTGCGCGTCGGCGAGCTGAGCAGCTGCGCACCCCGGCAGCAGTGCCCTGGGCACTCACTCTGCCGTCGCTGCCGCCGCCCCATACGCCATCAGCCGCCCACCCACGTGTGCCAGCAAAGGCGGACGCGCCGCTCAGCATGCGGCTGCGGACGCGCTTCGTGAGCTGCGGCTGCAACCGCGTCGCCCACGCGCTCCACTGGGGCGAGGGGGGCGGAGGGCTGGTTGCGTACGGCGGCGCATCTGCAGTATGCATCTATGATCCCCAGGTGAGCCATCCGCGTCGCAGCCAAGCGATGCGGGCCTGCGACACCCTGCAAGCTGCAGGACCCTGCTCTGGGACAGCTACACCCGTGCATGCCGCGCGCCGGCGCTGCAGGCTACCCATGGCCTGGGGTGGCAGCTTGCTCTTACGCTGCGCCGCCCTCCCGCCGCGCGGCCCGCCCCCGCAGCGCGACGAGACTGTGGCGACGCTGGTGGGGCATTCGGGCCGCGTAAACTGTGTCAAGTGGCTGCCCTCAGAAGGTGAGGCGTGATCAGACTGGGCCACGGTGGTGTATTGACAACCCCCCTGATTTCAGCCAGCCTCAATCGACTCGGGGGCGCCGCATCCAGGCAGCTGCGGGTAGCACTGCCAAGTTGTTTGACCTCGCTGCTGCCAGCAAGGCAACCCCGTGGGATTTAATATGCCGTCTGCTGAGTCCACTATTGCCTTTGCGCGTCCACCCTGCCGCCTGGAAGGCTGCGGCGCCTGGCACGGCTGCCGGCTGCTGGCGTCGGGCGCTGCCGACAACACCGTGCGGGTGTGGGCGTGGCGCGGGGACGGCGAGCAGCCGCAGTGGGTGTGCCTCCACACGCTAGAGGTGAGGAGGTCACACGCAGGGCGCACACTTGGTATTTGTGATGCAAGTCAGTTGGGTGGGCTGCTCACCTGGATCGATCGCATCCCCGCAAGCTGCGACGATCCTGCTTCATGCTGCTCTCAAGGGCACCCATGGCTGCGGCGAGGAGCGCCCATGAGTAATGCCTTGCGCTCATCTCGACCGCCCGCAACACACACGCGCCCCGCAGGGCCACGAGCGACCTGTGACGTCCCTGGCGGTGCAACCCCTGGACGGCGGCGGCTTCCTCCTGGCTGCCACCTCGGGCGGCCCAGATCTCTTGATCTGGGCGTGCCGCCCAGATCACCTGCCTGAAGCAGACTCGGCCCCCACACAGCCGGCAGCGCCCGAAGATCTTGCGGCCGCGTTTGGCGCGCCCGCCTGGCAGCTGCAGCAGCGTATCCACGTCGGCACGCAGACGCAGCTGTGCGCCGACTTTGCGGCTGTGCCCGGCGCCCCCGGCTGGCTGCTGCTCGCGAGCGGCGGCGCGGACAACGCCGTGCGGCTGCACGTGCGGCCGCCGGGCGGCGAGTTCCAACTTCAATGCAAGCTGACTGGGCATGAAAACTGGGTGCGGTCGGTGGCGTTCACGGTCGCCAGGGAGGCGCAGTCGCCGGCGGCCCGCGCGGACGGCGAGGGCGGCGCTGGCGCCGGCGCCGGCGGTGGCAGTGGCGAAGATGGCGATGGCGGCACGGCGGAGGGGCAGGAGGTGCTGCTGCTGGCCAGCGCGAGCCAGGACAGGTGAGGGGCGCGGGTGCGGCTTGGGCGCGCCGAGCAGGGGGCGGCAGGCACGCTTAGCTAGTCGATGACGGCTCCTGGCTCCCGCGGCTTTGTGGAGGTGCTGCACCCTGCTACTCTTGGCATTCTGGCTCGTCATTCGAATTGCTTCACGGGGATGGACCTATCTGAAATCCCTTTTCGCAAAATGCTCACAGGTATGCCCGGATATGGCGCATCGGCCGCGGCAGCAGCACACTCAGCGGCGCCGCCGCAGAGGCGGCCCCCGGCGGCGCCGACGGCGGCCTGGCGCAGCTCATCTCCCGCTACGCGCCGCGGCCCCACGTCACCGCCGCGGGCGACACGCTTTGGTGCAGCCTTGAGGCGCTGCTGATCGGCCACGAAGACTGGGTGCACTCGGTCTGCTGGCGGCCGCTGCAGGGGCAGCAGCAGGTGGGGCAGCAGCACGGGCAGCAGCAAGGGCAGCAGCGCGCGCCGCCGCCGCCACCGCGCCGCGCCGCGCTGTGCCTGCTGAGCGCGTCTCAGGACCGCAGCATGCTGATCTGGCGCTGTGACGAGGCGAGCGGCCTGTGGCTGTCAGAGGCATCGGTTGGGGACGCGGGGGCGACGTGCCTGGGGTACTATGGGGGGGCCTTCTCGCCGGATGGGCGGCGCATCCTGGCGCATGGCTTCACAGGGGCTCTGCACCTGTGGACGGAGCAGCGCGGGGACGAGGAGGGGGATGACGGGGCAGCAGGCGGCGGCGCCGCCGCCGCGTGGCTGCCGCGGCACGCGTGCGGCGGCCACTTTGGGCCCGTCGTGGACGCGTGCTGGGGCGCCGACGGCCGCTGCCTGCAGACGGCGTCGGCGGACCAGACGGCGCGGCTCTTCACGGACGTCGGCGGGCGGTGGTGCGAGCTGGCGCGCACGCAGGTGCACGGCCACGACTTCAGCTGCATCGCCGGCATACCCACGCGCGCGGCCGTGCCCGCCGCGGCCGGGGCCGCGGGTGAGGAGGCCAGCCCGGACGGGGGTGGAGGCGGCGGCGGCGGTGGGGAGGAGGGCTTCATGTACGTGACTGGCAGCGAGGAGAAGGTGCTGCGCGTTTTCGAGGCCCCCCTCGCGTTCTTGGACACACTGGACCTCGCGCGCGGCCGCGACCCCGCCGCCCCGCGTGCGCCCGGCACGCCGATTCAGCGGCAGCGGCGGCGCCCGCGCGCCCTCGGCGCCGCGGTCGGGGCGCTCGCGCTCAGCAACAAGGCGGTATTCCTAGAGGATCCGGCGCCGCATTCAGCTGCAGGCGCGCCCGACGGCGGCGGTGGCCTGCCTGGGCTTGTCGGCGTCTGCGAATACCCTGAAGGCCCCGACATGCTGCCCCGCGCCACGCCCGGCGTCGCGCACGGCCCGCCGCTCGAGGAGCACCTCGCGCAGAACACGCTGTGGCCGGAGGTGCGGAAGCTGTACGGCCACGGGAACGACGTGTACTGCGCCTCCGCGTCGCCCGACGGGCGCCTGATTGCGTCGGCCTGCAAGGCGCAGGGCGCAGCGGCCGCAGCGGTGTGGGTTTGGGAGGTCGGCAGCTGGCGGGCGCTCGCGCAGCTGCCGGTGCACGCGCTGACGGTGACGCAGCTCGCGTTCTCGCCGAGCGGGCGGCTGCTGCTGGCGGGGTCGAGGGACAGGAGCTTCTCGGTGTGGCGCGTCGTGAGGGGCGGTGGGAGCGGCGGCGGCTTGGGGGGCGGCGAGGGCGGCAAGGGCGGCGGGCAGCGGCAGGATGAGGACGTTCGGTTTGAGCTCGCGGCGCGGGCCAAGGCGGCACACGCGCGCATCATCTGGGGCGTGTCCTGGGCGCACGACGAGAGGTGGGGCGCGCTGCTTTCCGAGCCGCTTGCTGCATGACCCGCGCGTCGTGTCGCGCTCGTGCGCGCCCGCGCGGAAAAGTCTCACTGCACAGTCACTAGCGAGTCTGGCCCTGCTCATACTTGCAGCGCCGCTGCCTTGACTGGTAGATGAAGCCGTTTCATCTGGCCCCCTCCCCCCCGGCAAGGCGCACGCCCCACTGCACTCCCCTCACCCACGCCCCCGCATCGTGCGCCGCATCTCCCCGCAGCTGCTTCGCCACCTGCTCCCGCGACCACACTGTGAAGGTGTGGGCGGTGGACGGCGACGACGTCCCCTCTGCGCAGCCCATCCGCACATTGCCGCAGTTCCCGTGCCCGGTGACGGCCGTCGCGCTCGCTCCGGCGCACGTCACTGCTGGCGACAGGGCGGGCGCGGCGCATGTGTTGGCGGTCGGTCTAGAGGACGGCGGCGTTGAGCTGTGGTCCACGGGCGCCGCGGCGGGCCCCGACGCGCCGCGGCGCCTGTGGTCCGCGCCGCCGGGCGGCGCGCACGCGGCGGCGGTGCGGCGCGTCGCGTGGGCGCCCGCGGGCGGCGATGCTGGCGCGGGCCCGCTGCTGGCGTCGTGCGGGGACGACCATGCGGTGCGGGTTTATGAGGTCGATGGCGCGCAGGCGGCGGACTCCAAGTAGCTCCACGCATTCTCGACATCAGTGTCTGCCTGTCATCTTCTTCTTTCCTTTCGTATCATACGCCTGCACTCACTCAAGGCCGTGCTTGCTGTAAACACAAGCTTACATTCAGTTGCCTGGCCATCCATGGGCATGCCACCAGGCGGGCACCAAAGCTCATGGTCCCTGTCACCCAGGGGGTGCGCTCGAAGCGCGACCGGTGCCATTGAAAGAGGGCATGGCTCATTAGCACACGCACACAGTCGCAACGGCAGCGGGCGGCGATGCATGGGATGTCCACTGGATCATATATTCTTGTGCCGCACTCGGCGGTGCTGCGTCCGCAACATCCCGCCCCCATTTCCAGCTGCATGTAGGCCCGCCCGGGCCTGCCTAAAAGTAGGATAATGGACTCTGTCATGGTCACTTTGCACGCGCATGTGAGCGGGCGTGTGGCACCTCCGACAGCACGGTGCGGGCGCACTGTCGAAAGGCATGGGAGCAGCTGTCTGGTGCAGTGACCAGGAGCAAGCCCCGCCGCGCGCACAAGTGGCAGGTGCCAAATGGAACTAGGCGACCGGACAGCTTTGTTCTCACTAAAATCAATTACATGCAGTGCGCTGCATTCCCTGCCCGAGTCAAACACCGATCTGCCAGCCAGGGCCCAGACGGCCTGCAGCGTAGCTCAAATGTCGGCTTGTGTGAACAAGAGTGCTTGCTAGAGTATGAGCTAGGGCTCGCGCACGTTACATCGCCCGGAGCGCCGTGCGGTTGTTGAAGGACGTTTTTTGCGAGGCACAGCCTTCATCGCTCGGTCATATTTAGTGGATCGCTTTGATTGCAAAGCAGCCGGGCGGCAGGGCCCTGGCGTTGTTGAAGCTTGTTTAGCAAGGGCCGAGACACCGGCGCGGGGGCCCTACGGGGCCTAGCCGCAAAAGCTTGAGACATGGGCAACCTATGCAGTATGATCGACGTGGACCTGCCACCTCGGGGCCCACGAGGCCCGCCGCGCATGCACGCAAGCGAGCTCGCGCCGCCTGTTTATGCGGCTGAACGCCTGCATCAGCTGCACGTCGGCGGCAGCGGCGAGGCGCACAAGCGCGCCTCGTCGTCCTCGCGGTCGCCAGAACGGCGATTGGCTGCGGCAACCGCGGCGGCGGCGCCTGCCGCGGCCGCGAGCGGCGACGCCCCACCTGCCGGGACGGTGCTGCCAGCGGCCGACGGCGGCGCCTGCGGGCCACTCGCCGGCGGAGGCGGCGGCAACGGGGACGATGGATGGCGCATTCCTGCGGGAGCCGCGCAGCCGCCGGACGGCGACGCTGACGGCGGGGCCACCGCGCTCGCCGATGCGGAGCCTAAGCCTCCGCAGCCCCCATTCAGTTGGACGAAAGGGGAGCTGATCGGCATCGGTGCATTTGGGCGCGTGTTCACCGGCCTCAACAACCTGACCGGCGAGATCATCGCAGTCAAGCAGGTGCGTGCACGGGGCGCGCGGCACTGTGGCTGCGAGGCAACCCTCTGGCAGCTACCACATGATTTGCACGCAAACAACACGCCGTGAGCGAGGCGAGGGTGGCTTGTTTGCTGCCTGCGGCAGCCGTCGTCGTGCCGGCCGGCGGTGCATTCCGCGGCGCGCATCCAGTCCCCGCCGCCCCGCTCGTCGCGCCCGCCGCGTCCGCCCCGCAGGTGTCTATCGCGCGCGACGAGGCGCTGCAGGGCCATGTGTCGGAGCACATCAAGGCGCTGCAGGGGGAGCTGGCCATGCTGCAGAAGCTGAAGCACGAGAACATCGTGCAGTACCTCGGGACGGACCGCACGCCAGATTCGATGTACATCTTCCTGGAGTATGTCCACGGCGGCAGCATCGCCAGCCTGCTGGCAAAGTTTGGGCCGTTCCAGGAGGCTGTGATCCGCGTGTACACGCGCCAGATCCTGCGGGGGCTGGAGTACCTCCACGCGGGCGGCCATGTGCACCGGGACATCAAGGTGCGGCGCATGTGTGCGCGCGTGTTGTGTGCATGCGTGCATGTGTCAGCGGAGGGCCGACAGATGGGTCCGCAAGGCGGCTTGGGGCAGCAGGGGAAGTAGCCGCTGCAGACGGGAACGCTTCATGGGAGTCGTCCTTTGCAAACTGCAGTCCACAATCTGCCGTCTTCCCTGGGCTTTTCACACACTCGCTTTGTATTGTCGTCCACCTCCCCCCCCCCCCCACACACACACACACACACGCAGGGAGCCAACATCCTGGTTGACAAGGGCTCCACGGTCAAGCTGGCAGACTTTGGGGCGTCGAAAACGATTGAGGACCTGGCCACCATCGGGGCGGGCTGCAACAGCATCCGCGGGACGCCGTACTGGATGGCGCCAGAGGTGGGTTCAATGGGTTGCCCAGGCACGCACTGGCGCTGGGCGCCTACCAGTGCTTGCTGATGTGTGTGCGTGTGTGTGTGTGTGTGTGTTTGTGTGTGTGTGAGCTTTTTTGCGGCGCGAACGCCCAGGTTGTTATGTGGTGTGACTGGGCAGCTGCAGGCACACACCGGCGTCATGCGAGGCGTCAAGGCGTGTCGCTTACGCATGACATCTCGCGTCCTTTGCACATGCGCAGCCGCTTTATTCCTCACACATACACACACACACACACGCACATATACACACACAACACGCACCCACACATGTATACACACACACACACACACACACCAGGTGATCAAGCAGACTGGCCACGGCCGCCCTGCCGACATCTGGTCTGTGGGCTGCACCGTGATTGAGATGGCAACCGGCAAGCCGCCGTGGAGCAACTACGCGGCCCCAGTCGCGGCGATGTTCCAGATTGCGAGCAGCAAGGACCCGCCGCCGATCCCTGAGCACCTGTCGCCGCAGGCCAAGGACTTTTTGCTGATGTGCTTTAACAGGTGGGGGCGCCCATGCCTGAGGGAACCGTATGAAGGGGGGGGGCGATGTGGGAAGCTGCTGACCGAGGGCGTTGCAGATCGGTGCATGGTAGACAGCGAAATGCCTGAAGCATTGCCCCACCTCTCCGCCGCAGGGTTGCAAGGGACCGGGCGAGCGCCACGCGGCTGCTCAAGCACCCGTTTGTGGCGGAGACCCCGCCGTCGCACCCTCAGCCCCCGCTGGGATCGTTGGGCTTTGCAACAAGCGGGACGGCGTTGTTCGCCGCTGGCCCCGTGCGCGCGGCCAACGGCGCCGCCTTCGCTGCGCAGCAGCAGGCGGGACAGCAGTCGGCCGCGGCCGCGGCTCGCGCAAGCGCGGCCGCGCAGCAGCAGGCCGGTGTGCGTGCAGGAGGGGCGTTGGCGGCGTTGCAGCAGCAGTCCCAGCAGGGGACCGCGCGGGCCAGCCCCAAACGGCTGGCGCCAGGGACGCCGGGCGGCGAACGGGGCGCTCCCCCCATCGCGAATGGATCCTTCTACGTGGGCCGCGGCGGCGGCGACGCGGCTGCTGTCGTGACAACGCACCCTTCGCCGCTCCGGGGCGCCCAGTACCCGCAGCAGCAGCAGCAGCAGCAGCAGGAGCTGGTGCAGCAGCAGCAGCAGCAGTTGCCTGGGATAGGTCCAGGGTCTGGGCCGTCTGCTTATGCGTCAAAGCAGCAGCCAAGTGGCAGCCGGCCGCTGTACAGCCCGCTGTCAAGCAGCAGGGCCGGGCACCCGGCAACACAGAACCACCCCCTGGGGCTTGGGGGTGCCCAGCCGGCGCCTCTGCTGCATCAGCAGCAGCAGCAGCAGCAGCAACCGCAGCAGGTCGCCCCACCGCAGCAGCAAGTACAGGCAACCCCACCATCGGCACACCAACAACAGCAGCCGCAGCAGCAGCAGCCGTCCACCCCCAAAACGCAGCAGGCAGAGCACCAGTCGTCATCAACCCAGCATCAGCAGGCACATGCACAGCAGCCGACACCGCAGCATACACCGCAGCAGCAGCAGCAGCAGCAACAGCAGCAGCAGCCCCAACAGGCCCAGCAGCAGCAGCAGCAGCAGACGCCCCCGCCCGCGCCGCAGCCCACGCCGCAGCCGCAAACCCCCGCAATGCGCCACAGCGTTGTGGCGTGCCAGACCCTGGTCGACTTCAATCCGGTAGAGGAGCCCTCGTGGTTCCCTGAGTTCAGCCAGGGCGGGGCCGACGGCGGCGGCGGCGGCGGCGGCGGCGGCGGCGGCGTGCAGCTGCTGCCGCCGCGACGACGCACTGTGTACGACGACCCGGACGACCCGCGTGCCTCTGCGCCGGCCGGGCTGCAGCGGCGGCCGCCGCACCGCCTCACGG